AGTAACCTAAAGTCCAAATTACCTGCTTGGATAGCAGCATGTGTTAAAAGGCTTTTTCTTCTGCTTATATTGTTGAATTGAGATAGGAACACCAAAAATTTAGCCAATATCTGTGTACTGCTTTTTTGCACATGTGCTCTGTTACCGATTTGACTTGCAGGTCTGTTGATCTTAACCAGAAAGAACTGTGTGCCTGTTACCAAGTTTGTAAATGCAGTATTCATTCAGGTCCTGTTTATAAATTAGTCACGTCCAAAAGCTAAAGTGTGGGCTTTTAAAAGTACAAATTCATGAAAGTGTGGTGGTAACAATATTGAGAAGTTAAAGTAAATAATCTGTCCCTATGTTCTTTGGGGCCTGGCACATTTCCATTTGTTTGTGCTGATTCCTTTGTTGGGTAACCCCAGGTTAAACATGTATCTCTGAGAGATTCAAAGTGGTCAGTCACAGAATCTTGATCTGTCTTCCCCCCTGTATGCACACTAAAACTTCTTCCTTCTGTTTTTTTTGTTTTTTTTTTTTTTATTTTAGAATCCAAAATGATTGAAAAGCATGGAGGATACAAATTCAATGCTCCAGTTGTGCCAACTTCATTTAATTTTGGAGGCCCTGCCCCGGGAATGAATTGAATTATCACTTTTCCTGCTACTGTGTGATTGTAGTGAAGAGCTTGTGTTCCTCCCAATAGTGGTTCCAGAACTGGTTCATGTTATCTACAATTCACTCTAAACTAATTTATAAATAGATTGGACAAAAGCCCCAGAAGTGGGACCTGATTATTCAACCTGATACTGGAAAGCAAACCAGAGGTTTTTTTGAAGATAGGAAGAATCTGAATTTAAAGCTTCAAATGACACACTTTGGAGATCGGAAATCAAGAGGGGATGTCATGAAGGCAGCTTTTCTTTTTCTGAGGAAAAAAAACTAGACATGGGCTGCAGGACTATTTAAAATGTCTCATTTACAGTACAAGCTAGAAGGCAGACTTAATTTTTACACCTGTGGCAGTATGAGTATTTGCCCAGTTTCTTTCCCTTTTATCCCTACTACTGGGTGTCTATTCTTTTAATGTAAATAAGATAAGGTAATCAGATAGCCTTACTTAATCTTCATCATTTCCATTTATCAAGATTGTTCATATGTAGAATATTGGACACTTAATGTAGCACTACATGACTGATAAATCTGTAAATGAATTAGCACTTTCATATTGAAACAAGCCTGCTAGCCTATGTACAAAAATAGCAAAATGTTTGCTGTTTATAAAAATAAAAAATAAGGGATGTATTGGGGAAAATAATTTCAAGTTATTAATTTAAAATGAACTAGCAGTTTTGTACCTGGTGACTTTGTGGTGCAGTCACCTCTGGTTGTGACTTGAATTCGGATATGTAAAAAGGGGTTAGTGATATTTCATTGCTGCTAAAGAAAAAATAGCAACACCCTCTGTGTCCTTTGTTTTTTTTAAAGATCTCACTGTACAAGCTAGAAAATTGAACAAATATGTACTGTAAGCACAAAGAAAAGTTATCCTTTTTAAGGCAGGTAAATGAGACATGAAGTTCTTAAGGTCAATTGAAGTGTATGGGTGAAACACCTACATATGCAATCTGTTAAAAACAACAGTATCATTGGCTGATCTGGGCTATGGAATATAATTGCAGTTGTGCAGAATATTCTTTTTCCAGCTCATGGTAGTGCAGGTGCACTACTCCTGCATTTCATTCCCCCTCTTTTTGCACTTGCAGCATTAGTGTGTGCTGTTGTCTGCCTGATCCAGACAGTGTATTTGAAGTTTTGCCAATCTTTCAGTTTTGAAGCCACAATTTTCTTCCTTCAAAGTTGCTATAGTAACTAGTATTTTAGCTAGAGAGGCAAAATACAGTTCCCTCTGGGACCACTATCAAAACCACTGTATGAAGAAGCCAGCAGGGAGAGGCTGTGAATGGGTTGGCTTAAATGCCCCCTTTTTCTTTTCTAAAAGCAAATCCATTGGCGTTTGATCTTGCCTTGAGATCATTGGTGTCAGGTCTTTTAAATCAAATGTTTGGGTTTTTTTTTTTTTTTCCTTTAGGCTGTTTTTATATAAAAATGTCACCTGCTGTTACAATTGATATTAAACAAGCTACCTTAATTTAATGTAAGCCTCCAAAATTTAAATACAGGTTAAAAATAAACGGAGTTTTTATCTGTAAAAATGAAATGCACATATATATATATTATGATACTCAAAATGCAGTCTTCAGAAAATTGGTTTGTGTGGTGTGGTTTTTTGCATCAGCAGAGTAGCAGGATTTGGCGGTGCTTTGGGGTTTCCTTGCTGATCTGCCCAGCCCCACGCTTTGCCTGGTGCTGGCGCTTCCCAGGCAGCGGGAGGGGTTTTCCAGCCTCTCCACTGGAGAGCAGCAAATGTTTCCCTGCACATGGGGGGGCCAAGGTGGGACATGGAGCCCTGCCCCAGTACCAAAGGGACACTTAAAAAGCAAAGCTCCTGAGGTGAAAAAAACCTGACTGTGATGGATGGGAATACCCATCCTCGTGGTGGTGTGAGACCCGGGGTCCTTGCTGTGCATCTTTAGGGGATGCATGGAGCAGAACTTACCTGGGGGTTTGTGACTGTAACTCACGGGCACGGCCAGGCGTGCACCGGCCCCCAGGGAATCTAGACAGGGTTTTATTTTTGTAGAAAAAGCTAACAGATGTGCTTCCAGCACGCCTTCTCCTTGCATTGCTTGGGAACACCCAGTTTAACAAATAATTTCTGAACATCTGCTGGTTGGGTATCTGCTTACTTTCATATGCATCCTAAAAATGCAAGAGAAGCTTTGAGAACAGATGAGCCATTTTGGGCCTCCTGGCAGAAGATGTGGCAGCAGCAGTGAGAAGGCTTCATGTATAAAGCAGATGACAAAAAATAGGGAAATCACCAATTTTAGTGCTATTATCAGTTCTGGAACAATTATATTTTTCAAGTCAGAAGGGAAGAATTCTATCTTGGTGTGAGGAGTACAGTCTTACTTCAAGGGTGCTTTTATGTGTCACTAGACTGGTTAGCAAGGAGCATCTTTTTTAAGAGTGGATCTAAAACTTTGCTTTCCTTTGCTCCAAGAAATGTATTTATATAAATTGCAAAACAATTTTGCATTGTTGTTGGTGGTGATAGCGCATTTTGTGATGCAATATATCAATTTCAGTGATACACTTATGTCAAATTAAAAACTGATCTTTCTCCTAGAACTTGCACTTATCCATTCCATTTTCAAGGATAATGCAACTCTAGAGGGAGAGCTGGGAAATTTAAAGCCTCTGTTTTTTTCTATTATGGAAGATCTCCTTGGATTAATAAACATCTAAAGCAAATCCTTATCTTCACTTATTTCAGTGTGGTGTTTTGAATGTAGATGTAGCCTTACAGTAGAGTTCTGCTGGAGTTGCACAGATCTCAGGTTTGTATTTCCCTCTCCAAAATACTCCTCCAAACAAATGTTAGGCACAACCAGAATTCTCTTCAACTGCCTGTGTTAAATATAAAAATAGGCAGTTTTTAAAATGCTGACATACTGGGTTAATATTTTTTCCCTTAATCACTGTATTAAAAGAATTATTAATATGTATCAGCATAGCACTACAAAGCTCTGTTCCAATCTCCCACAGCCTAGGACTGTTACTGCAAGACTTTATCAAATCTGCAGTAGAATAATTACTGACTACCTGCCAATAAATATGCAGGTGATTTTAATGATGCCTAGTAATGGATATCTGGTAGCTTTTAAGGTTAATTTTCACCGTGGAACCTTCTACATACCCAGAATGATCCAGGTGGCAGGTGAAAAGCTTTTCCTGCTGCTGACTATCAGCTACTTTTCAGTCAATATGTAGCTTTATCTTAGAAGGTGTGTCACTGGTTTGTGTGTCTCTACTTTTCATAGCAAACTGTTGATGGTGGAAACATAAAGCACCTCAGAATGAGAGAGATTGTAGTACTTTACAGACATGATAATCTATTAAGACAAGGGGAGTTGGCAAATCAGAAAAAGCAATTTATCTTGGGTACTTCACTGCTGCTGTACCTCGAAACAAACTGATGCCTGCAGCTTGTATTTGGCTTAAAATTTACAATTAGGAAACATTAAATTAGGAAAGAAACGCTGTTGGCCATTAAGGCCTGTTTAGGAATAAGTATTTTTTGGGCTTTCTGTACAACTGCAATAATTTTGGACTGCAAGAATTTCAAACTATTATTCCGGAGCAAAACGTACATTTTTTGTACATCTCTCATGTTAGCAACATGCAGTAAGGCCACCAGAGCTGGTCCCGTTAATGGGAACAATTCGCGTCATCTGTACAACTGGGTTTTCTGAGCAATCACCTGCGGAGTTTACCGTAACACGCTTTGCTCGCCTTACACTGGGAGCTGGGGCACTAATACACGTTTCCATACCTAAAAACCTCGTAAGTGTAACACTTCTAAGCACAGCTTTAACAGCGTCCTTCTCCCCCAGCGCCGGGCTGGAATGGCAGCCGGAGATAATGCGGCAAGAAGCCGGGAAGAGAAGGGCAGAGCGCTCGCTGTCCCCGGCCCGGCCGTGAGGCCCCGCGCACGGCCCAGGGGAGCGCGGGTGGCCCCGGCCGAGGCGGATCGGCTGCCCCGGGGCCGGGGCCGTGCCCGTCCCTCCCCGCCCGGCCCCGGCCCGGCCCGGCCCCGCCGCCTCAGGCGCTGCCGGCGCGCGCCGGGGGAGGGCAGGAAATGGCGCCGCTCCCCGCTGGCGCGCGGGCGCCCGGCCGCCCGCTGCACAAAATGGCGGCGGCCCCGCGCCCGGCACAGCCGCGACGCCATTGAAGCCGCGGGGCGGGGCCGCGGGCGCGCGGCCAATGGGCACCGGCGCGCGGCCCGCGGGCGGCCAATGGCGGGCGGCGGCGGCGGCGGCGCGCGCGGCGCGGCCAATGGGAGCGGCGGAGCCGGCGCCGCCGGGCCCCGCCCGCGGGGTGCGGGGCGGTGCCGAGCGGGCGGGCGGCGCCGAGCGGCCGTTTCCTGTCCTGGTGCATGGTGGTCGGACGGAGGAATTGTTGGAAAATTTCTCGGCGAGGTTCGTATATAAATGTGCTTTTACCCAGTGTGCCTTATGCTCCCTCCGCCATCTCCGGACGGGGCCGCCGCGCCGCGCCCGCCGCGCCCGCCGGCGGTGCTCGGGGAGGCGGGCAGGGGCAGCGGAGCGCGGGCGGCAGCGAGCCGAGCGGCAGAGCCGCGGCGATAAAGCCGCTCCGCTCCGCGGGGCCCGCCCGGCCCCTCCCCGCCCGCCGGGCCCGCGGGGGTCCCCCGGGCCGCCCCCCCGGGCCCGCTCGGCGCTGCGTCACGGGCGGGGGGCGCGGGGAGCTTTAATCCGGGGCGCTCCGTGCCCCCCGCCCGCCGCGCTCTAATCGGGGGGGCTCGCAGATTTTGGCATTTTCCCCGTTGTTTGGTTTTTTAATTT